ACCTCTCCATAAAACTCTCTTCTCTTCGTCTTACAATGTTCTATGCTGTGTTAGTCCTCTCTTCCAAGAGGCGTGTGCTCACCCGATAAACATTTTTTGAGCTCCTGCTGTGAATACACATATAGCAATTAAGACATTCTCTGTCCTCCAAGTGCTCGTAACATAGTCTAGTAGTGCTTCGAAATACCAGCATCGAAAGTTTATAAGATTGAATCCTATTGGGCGCCTGGGTGGCTCAGTTGGTTAAGCGACTGCCTTCGGCTCAGGTCATGATCCTGGAGTCCTGGGATCGAGTGCCGCATCGGGCTCCCTGCTCGGCAGGGAGTCTGCTTCTCCCTCTGACCCTATCCCCTCTCATGCTCTCTCTCTTTCTCTCACTCTCAAATAAAGATAAATAAATAAAATCTTTAAAAAAAAAAAAAAGATTGAATCCTATTTTACCAACAGGGAAACTGAGACCTACAAAGCTGTAACCTGCCCAAGGTCACACAGCAAGTCTGGCAGAAGCAGGCTGCCTGAATTCTATGGTGGTGCTTTGGTTGCCACCAGAAAGAAAGGTGGGGGCTAGGTCTCTTGTTCTACTGATCAAGTCAGGCCTGTGTGGAGAAGGGTGGACATTCAGGACCCCATGGAACTGTGGGGGTACTCCACCCCGGCTCTCAATCTTTGGTTTGGCTGGTGGGGTAGAGTCTAAACCCTGGGCCCTGGGGAGCAGGGTAGGGATGCTGGACCTCACCAGGAAAGCACGATATCCGTGAGTGTCTCAGCTGTAGTGAAGAAAGCAAAGACGATCCAGTACATCATCCATTTCACCTGAAGGCACAGAGGGCAAGTGTTAGCTGGGGCCTCAGGGGAACACCCAGGAGCCTGTGTGCACTTGCCAGCTATGGTGGGGAAGGGACAGTCAGGATCTCAACTTTGCCTGTGGATCCCACCAGGGCTGGGGAAAAGGAACACAAAGGAACCTTCTGGAAGCAGGGTCTCTTTAGTGCTGAGGCATCGGTACAAAGTCACTCCTGTCTGTAACGCGACCCATGGTCCTCCCCTATCTCTGCCATGTGGGTTGGGTGGGAGATGAAGTATCACAAACTCACATATTCCTTCACGTTTTTTGTCTTCACGGCCTTGTAGGAAGAATAGGCTGGGTACAAGGTGCCAAAGATGAGCCTAGGGAGGCAGGCAGGGTTACTGGTCCCCTCGGCCAAGAGCAGTGGCCTCTCCCTCCCAGCTCTGCATCAGTCAGTCCCTGGGTAGGTAAGGGGAGAAGGACAGAACTCCAGAGTGCCACATCAGCTGGACTGATGAACTCAGATCAGTGGTTATGGTCAAAGTAGTTCAGCCTTGGGGATACACAAGCATGGAGGCCCCCAGATGGTAAAGGTGATGCCTTTTCCCCTTTATCGTTCCGGTTTTCTCCAGGCCCTTAGGTGAAGAAAGACCCAGAGGCCAGAGGGTCCAATGTGGTCTCTTTAGCCATGATCATTGGTTATGCATAAACATATCATGGGGATTAGGAGGGGGTCTGGTCACCACCACAGGTGTCTTCCTTCTATGGATACAGCTCATTCATACCCATCTGCCCTTAACCTCTACTTCCCTGTCTCAGAGTCGGGCTGGGTAGGGCCAGGTCTGTAAGGGAATGTGACACCGCCTAACAGGGCACTCTATGTGGCAGTCAGAGGCACCGCTGTGGCCCTGGGGACCTGGGGAGCAGAGGGCACAGGGGCAGGAGTCCCTAGAAGAGCAAAAAGGTTTATTATCTCAGGTAAGCAGCCTTGGGACCAAGCTCAGTGGCGGGGGGAGGGTGCTGGGCTTAAGGCCCTGGCTGGAGTCCAACCTGGTAGCGATCCCATTAGAGACCACATACAGCACACAGGTGAGGGAATAAGAGGAATGATGCCCCCAGGGAACTCACCCAGGTAAGAGAGAAGCAGCCACCCTGAAGGCCAGAGGGAGGTATGAGGCCCCAGGATTCCCTGGATGGGATGGGGGAGGAAGAAGGGAGACCCTGGTGGGTCTAGAGGGAGCCAGAACACAAGCACATAACAGCACTGAAGGGAAGAAGGCAAGAGGGAGGGAATACTGGGGTGTCAGTCCCCCCACAGTGGAGGCTGAGGGGCAGGGTCCTGAGCCGAGGCAGGGGTTGGCTGAGGCCCATGCAGAGCCGCTGCCGGGCCCGGCTCCTTGACAATGTGTGGGTATTGCCTGGGCTCACAGGGACCTGCCTCAGAGAGACAGGATACTTCCGAACTGACCTGTGGAGGTGGGGTGGGGAGTGGAATCCTCAAGGACAATGTGTGGGGTGTGGGAGCAGGCTTCCCTCCTGGGGCCCGGGCGGGGGGCATAGCTCCACAATGCGGCTGGCAGCCTGGAATGAAGGCCACCTAACGCTGTCCCCTCTGTGGCTTTCACAAATCCAGGCTGAACACACACGTCCTCACCCGGTTACCTCCCACACTTTGTCCTCCAAGCATCTCTGCTTCCCAGTACCCAGATGTTCTCCCGGGGGGAGGGGGCCTCCAGAACATGTGCCCTCAACTCCAGTGTCCTGAGAGTGGAAGAGGGAGGCGGCCAAGGCTGCTAGCTATGGCCCTAAGCTACGGAATGACGAGGCCCTGCCTCGCTTTCCACTCTTCCATTAGCCCTATCCTCGAAGGGAGATGAGGGCCCAGGTCTGAGTTGCCCCTCCAGCGGGGATCTGCTACGTGGGGGAGGGGACATGCCACCTCCCCTCATAAATCAGGCCGTGCCGCCCAGCCCTAGGGTGAAGGAGGGCGAAGGAACAGGAAAATCAAAAATAAAAGGTGTGAGAAGCCGGCCGTGCTATGGGTCTTCTAATATTCCCCCCTCCGGTCCTGGGTCCTACACCCCATGTCTTGTCTCCGGAGACCCCAAATAGGGACGATTTGCCTTTAGGTGACTCTGTTGTACGAGGCCCCGGAGCGTCCATCCAGGGCTTCAGCACCCCTCACCCCCATCCCTATTCCCCATCCCCCTCCCAGCCGGCCGCGCCCCGCCACCGCCGCACTCACACCACCAGGCGAGAGATGATCCAGGACACCATGGCGGGGCCGGGCGGGGCGCGGGGCGGGGAGGACCCGGACCGCGGCCGAGGATGCAGGTGCCGGAGGTCGAGCGCCCGCGGCAGCAGCAGGAGCCGCAGAAGCAGAGCAGCCACAGCAGCAGCCGCCGCGGGGGCCGCGGAGCGCCGAACAGCCGCGGTTAAAGGGGAGGTCCCTGCCGCAGCGGCGGGCCGTGGGCGGCGGCGGCTCTTAAAGGGGAGGCCCCGGCGGCGGCGGCGGCGGCGCGCCCCCCTGCACCTGCTACCACCGGGCATGCGCCTTTGACCCTCAGCGCCCTGCCCTCCTCTAATCGCTTGTTCCTCTTTCTTGGATTCCAAGCCCTGGTCTGAGGTCCTCACAGGCCTTCAGGTTCCATCCTGACATCCTAGCCCTCCTCCTGCCTTGTCCACACCAGGCTGAGGAATACTAGCTAGGACTTACCGAGTGCGTACTAACTGCCAGGCCCTGAGGTTAAGAGCTTTACCCGCATTATTTCACTGAATCCTCACTACCATTCCATAAGGCAGAGGTTATAATTATCCTTATTTTGAAGATAAGGAAATGGGGCCCTTAGGGAAGTTCAATAATTTGCCAAGGTCACAAAACCACTAAGTCATGCTGCTAAGATGTAACCCATAAAGTCTACTTTAATCAGGCCACTTTTCCCAACTGCTGGCCAGCAAACTGTCCTCCCCCATTCCAGGCCCTGTAAAGACACCCACCCAACAGCTCCTGAAGTCAAGTATAGCTGCACCTGTCCACCTTACCCCTTCTTGGTCATCACCAATCACCCCAGTTGGAGGACCCATCCCCTCTCTGATCTGCTTTTTTTTTTAAGGTTGTCATTTGCTCAGCTTTGCAGGGGAATGAGCCCATGCTCTCAAGGGGAATACACCAGGGGCAGACCCTCTTTAAACAGAAGGGTTGGAGGCCTGACGTCTAGGTTGGAGATGGGTCCAGGGGCTCCAGTTCCACCCCCATCAGCAAACACTGGCAGCAGTGTATGCCCTAATTCTGAAGACATTTATATCCAGAATGTAGGCTAGCCCGCCTCCTGATTTTCACCAAAGCAACAAAGCTCCAACCTCTGCAACCCCCTTTTCTCCCCATTGCTTTCCCTTCCTGTCCCATTTCAAAGCTTCTGCATTCTTTAAGTGGAGGTGTAAGTCTTCTGGTGATCACAGCCTCGACCCGTGCCCACCAGGCTGAAAGGACACGCTCCGAGCTCTATATTTCAGTTATGGTCCTATTCAAACTCAGTATCCTTGAACCACACAATGGTCTATTTCCACCCTGATAATTGTATTTCCAGGCTCAAACACTTTGGAAGATGTTTTCCAACAGGGTCTGGAGAAGCAGCCTCTGATGACCCCTCTTGCTATTCTTTACAACTTCCTCTTCAAAAGGCCTTTTCTAATGGGAATGTAGTCTGTCCTCACTGCTCAAGCCACTTTAATTACTGCTTGATTAAAAAAAAAAAAATCCCATTTGGCTCTTTCCCCACCAACTCTGAGGTGGATCCAGGGCCACAATGTTTCCTATGTGGGCAGTCAGGCCTTCTGCTTTGAGGAACCCCATCACCGACCGCTCAAAACCTTGCTCATGCCATCCGCCACCCCCCCCCACTCCTGACTGCCCCAGGAAGGTCAAGACCTCACCTTTCCCATTCCATTCACACATCATAAACTATGGAAAACCCATTTTTTCTCCCACCTTCTAACTCAAGTGACCTTTTCCCTTCACACCCCCAAGCCCACAAACCACAATGACCTGGCACTTTCCTCTCTCAAAAAGGCACCAATTCAGGAAGCAAAGGGTAATTGGAAGCAGCAATGTAATGAAGATCTGAAAATGAACCATCCTCCACCTTCAACCCGCACTCAACCTGCCTTCGCTTTTCAGAATGGCTGGCACAGGAAGAATTTAGTCCACTCCAAACAGATTTGTTAGATTTTTAATAAGAACATGGAAATCCCAATCAGCCCTTCAACAAAATTAAAATACAGAAAGTGAAATTAAAAGTATTCTACAGTAAATGACTTTTATTAAAAAAAAAAAGTAACTGTGAACATATAAACAAGCCTGCAGGGCACTACAACAGCTGGAAAGAAGATAGATACATTTTCCAACGTATCTGTGGGCCAATGAATTCCATCATTTTCAAATAAATTCTGAATAAAACTCCACGGAGTTGGAAAGTTTTGCTGAAAATATTTTTGGACAAAAAACCCAAAAAACCAAAAAGCCTCATGTAGGAAATCAAACTTCCCTTTGCATTTGGAAGTGTAAGAGGAGTCCCAAGGGAACGCTGGTAATAGGTGAAAATGGTTCTTGTGTCACCGGTGTGTATATTCATAAAACACACCACAGCTCAGACATGACAAAGTTCTTTCTCAGTTGGCTGTTCCCTCAAGAAAGGACTGAGATGGGAGGGGAAGAAAACTAAAAGAATCCTAAAAAGCCAATCCTTTTCAATTCTGCTTTGGCTGATTTTGTGCTATAATGGGCAGCTGATTTCTAAAAATCATATTTCTTCAAAGATTTTTATCGAAAGGAAGACTAAATGTAATGTGCCTTTCCTCATAATCCAGGAAAACAACTGTGGTATTTCAAAAATTCTAAAAATATCTACTTTCATGAAATAGTAACTATTTCACTACAAACCTATTTTTCACTAAATACACACATTTCCTAATCCTGGAGCCTCCTGGGAAAAGCAGTGGGTTCTCCCTGGGTCCTGCAAGACTCCAGTGTTCACGGGAGAGATTGTGGGGAATGGCTTCACCCCGTCTCCTGGGATGGGCTGTGTCAGAGGTCACGTGCAGAGACACTGTCAGGCTTCCACCAGGCATGTTTAAGCAATTACCCCCTACTTGTACCAGTTATGGGATTCCCCCTACCTCCAAACACATTCCCACTTCACTAGGCACGAGAGAAAAAAGAAAAGAAAGGTGTGCCCACATTCCCGGTTTCCACGGATCTCAAGTAACGAGAATGTGCAGGAAAGCCCAGCAACGTTCAGGCAATTCAGAGTCCCAAAAGACCACAGGATGGGGATGTGGCACCCTCGGCTTGGAGTCTGAAACTGTGTGTGTGAACAGTGCAACTTTCCTGTGTCAACCTTCAGTGTTGAGGCAGCGTAGGAAAGAGTGGCTGGAGAGTTTGTAATACTGACCACACTGGCTCCAAGTGAAGGGCCTCTGCTGCAACAGAGAAGCCCGCCGTTCCCTGTATGTGTTGTGAGTGAAAGACCTGCTTCACAGGGGAGTCTGGAGTTCCTCCATGCCTAAGACCTTGCCAGTTTGGATTCATGAGCCTTGAGGGTGCCAACAGCATCTTTCACTGCGTGATAAATGATGTTCTTCACCTGGAGAGAGCAATCAGCAGTCAGTTCATGACAGCCCCATATTATATTCTCAAACAAAAATGTATGTTTTTTTTTCTTAAAGACTTTATTTATTTGAGAGAGAGAGAGTGAGAGCGCGTGTGCGCAAGCGAGCACACGCAGGGGGAAGAGCAGAGGGAGAAGCAGACTCCCCAGTGAGCAAGGAGCCTGATGCGGGGCTCGATCCCAGGTCCCCAGGATCATAACCTGAGCTGAAGGCAGACGCTTAACCGACTGAGCCACCCAGGAGCCCCACAAAAATGTATGTTTTACACAGCCTATAAAGCCTACTGGTTAATGAGGAAACCTCTCAGCCAGGACTGCATACTTCCCAAATCAATCCCAAAGATGATTTACAAATCACAGAGGATATAAGGTATATAATCAAAAAAGAATGATGAATCCATTTGAAAGGCTATATAATCACACTTTCATCTATGTGCTTAGTAAGAGCTGGGCACTACCGCTAAGCTTTTTACATGGACTTTCATTTCATCCTTTCCACAATCTTAGGAGGTCAATTCTATTATTATCACCATTTTTACACATGAGAAACTGAGGAAACCAAGGTCCAGTAGTTAAGAACCTTGCCTAAGCTCCTGGAACTAACAGGAATGCACTAAAACAACAGTGGGCAGGTCAGATTATTGGAAATGTTTTCCCTTTGTGCTTGTACGTGTTTTCTTATTGTCTAAGAGGAACACATATTATACATCAAGCAGGAAGGAACACTTAGAGTCACTAAAATAACAGGCTAAAAAGAATTTTAAAACCAGATAGTGATAATTTCTGGGGAGGGAAAGTAAGGAGACAGAATGGGGAAGGGTACACGGAAGGTTCAATACTGTAGTTGTTCTGTGTGTCCTGTGTGTTAACGCTGTTTATCTGTATGTATAGGATGCTTTAATTCTTACACTGAGTGATGGGCACACAAGCCCCCTTTTGCTATTCCTTATTAAATTTTTGTACTAATTCAACAAATATTTACTGAGTACCTACTATGTATCAGATATTGTGCTAGGGAAAAGCAGGGAATAAAACAGTAAAATCCCTGCCTTCGTGGAGCTTAAATAGCTTATATTCTATTAGGGATAGAAACAAACAGGTAAAACACATAATATGTTAGTGATAAATACTACAGAAAAAAATAAAGCAGTGACAGAGGACTGAGAGTGTTGGAGGTGACATGTCTCAAGTACAGAGACCTAATGGCGGTGAGGTCTGAAATGGCGGTTGCATTTTATCTACAGTATCAATGTTACCTGTTTATCCCCATGATTGGACTTTGTCTAAGAACTTTTATGGTTGAAATGTTCTACATGTTAAAAAAGGAACAGCAAAAAAGATCAGATCAGGGTTGAAGGTGACTGCATCTACTGGCGGGAGGCAGAGTGACTGTGTATTTGGATTGCTGAAGTTCTGCCTGGGCAATCTTCCTTCCTGATTCTTCTTTTCTTTTTTTAAATGCTACTGCAGCACCCAATAATTCTTAGGGACTGCAGTCCTCTCAGGACTTTAAGGAACTGATTCTGTACAGAAATGTATTGTGAGAAGCAGCTCTGGGAAAGTGCCCTTCTTGGAAACATGCTTGGAACACACTGCCACAGAGCTTTCGCCATCTGACTGGGAAAAGTCAGTCTAGTCAGTTATCAGCACTAAATACTGTATCTCCCAGGGGCAGAGAAATAAAAGGTGATGGCAGAAATGATTACGTTAAAAGGTGAATATTCTCTAAAAGTGAGTGTGACGAGGACTGATGCAGAATGTGCGTTCTTTGTATGTAGCCAAGTAGGAGATGGGGAGACAGAGCAGGGGTGAAGGAGTTATTTACCTGCAGTTTATCCTCATGGTTTGTATGAGTGTTAGAGAGATGCCTGAATTCCTGTGTCAGGCGGAAACAGTGCTTTACGTGTTCTGGAGATACAAAGTCTTCTGCTACTTTTATGCAACTGTATAGATTGTGCACCTGGGAGGAGAAAAGTACAGAGGAAGAAGAGCCATTAGAGAGTCAGCAACACCTGGAAAATGTCTATGATATAGTTTTTTTTTTTTTTAAGATTTTATTTATTTATTTGACAGAGAGAGCACGAGCAGAGGGGGAGCGGCAGGGAGAAGGAGCAGCAGCCTCCCTGCTCAGCAGGGAGCCTGATGCGGGACTCAATCCCAGGACTCTGGATCATGACCTGAGCTGAAGGCAGACGCTTAACCGACTGAGCCACCCAGGCACATCTATGATATAGTTTAAAAAACAAAAACAATCCCAAAACTTGAGAAATACTTCTAATATTCCATTTTCATAAAAACAAATGCAGAAAAAATGCAAGGATAAATTTATACATGAAAATGTTAGTAACTACACAAAGAAAATCTGGAGAAATACATACCAAACTGTGAACGGTAGGCTACCTCTGGAGAAGGCAGGATGAGGGGACTGAATAGGGGTATGGCACAGGTAGGTGAGCTGCGACTTTCACTTTTTAAAAAATGGTCTCCCTTATTTAAAAATTTTTAAATGTACAAGGGCGCCTGGGTGGCTCAGTCATTAAGCGTCTGCCTTCGGCTCAGGTCATGATCACAGGGTCCTGGGATCGAGTCCCACATCGGGCTCCCTGCTCCTCCCTCTGCCACTCCCCCTGCTTGTGTTCCCTTTCTTGCTGTGTCTCTCTCTTCAAATAAATAAATAAAATCTTAAAAAAAAATTTTTTTTTAAATGTACATTTAAAATTACACAGAAGAAAAGTAAAAAGCAAAAAATAACTTGCAGTTTAAGAACAGCCAGTCCTTCTGAGGGAAGGGGGTGGGGGGGATATGGTAGCCGGGTGATGAGTATTAAGGAGGGCATGTGTTGTGATGAACACTGGGTGTTATATGCAACTAATGAATCGTTGAACACTACATCAAAAACTAATGATGTACTATATGGTGGCTAACCAAACATAATTAAAAAAAAAAAACAAAACCCCAAAAAAACCCAGCCCCTTATATCTCTTGCCAGATTAGTAAGAAAATCAGAAATAGGGAAGCCCATGGAACCAAGTGGAACCCACCTGGTGTGGGGCTCCAGCAGGTATGAAGACAGCATCTCCCAGGAACTGAACGATGGCCCAGCCTTGCACACCATACTCTTCATAGAGTCGCTTACGGAGGGTCTGGTCCAGGTACCAACTTTGGTCATGAATTGGGTCATGATCAGGGGGATTCTCTTGGCCTTGCTCTTCTCCAACCTGAAGCCAAACCCAAAGATGGAAAAATCAATACATAAATAACAGCATAAATCCAGCTTGCTGAAACAATGTCCCTAGTGGGCCAAATCTTTTGCTTTGTTCTATTCAACATCCTCCAGGTGTGGATTCAGGCCTTCAGGGCATTTTGACAAAAAGGACAGGTCTTCATTTTTATTTTTATTTCAAGCTTTTATTTATTTATTTGACAGAGATAGACACAGTGAGAGAGAGGGAACACAAGCAGGGGGAGTGGGAGAGGGAGAAGCAGGCTTCCCGCCGAGCAGGGAGCCCCATGCGGGGCTCGATCCCAGGACCCTGGGACCATGACCTGAGCCAAAGGCAGATGCCTAACGACTAAGCTACCCAGGTGCCCCCAAAAGTACAGGTCTTTAAAGCCAAGAGACTCCACTGGAGAAACCCTAAGCAGGCTGTGTCAGCAGCAACCCCAGACCCTTAATCTGGGAGCTGGGAGCCTACCCAGGGGCATACCTTTCGGAGCAATTCCCGGATCTTTTCTGCATCCTTGGCTGCATAGATGTGCCACAAAGCACCAGGCTTCTCCTTTCCGTCGTGAATCCTCTGCTTTGTCACCTCATCAGCATCCCCCTCATCAATTGTCTTGAGTACCTCTGAAAAGAGCAAAGTTACTTTTCAATGTGACCAGCCATTTCAGTACCTCTGAGTAAAGCAAATGTCCAATTCAAACAAGTTTAGTCTCTACTATTCTCCATCTCTCTGGAGTAATACAAACCAGAATCAAAGAATCAAAACTCATATTTGTCTAAGCTTCCTATACACGAAGAACAATCCTAAATCTTCCTTACTTAATAGAAACTCAGTATTTTTTGGAGATAGCGTTTTCTTTTAAAACATATTTCCTGCTCAGACTGTGTAGCCACATCTTATGTTCAAATTGCAGGTCATTTCCTGCTGTAAGTAGACAGACTCCATACACTTTCTCAAGACCTCTTCAAACTCTAGGGTTCTATGGATTTAAAGTCATGAAACGTAAAGCTTCTCTGGCAAGTTAAGAGGGTAGGCTTCTAATGCTTGTCTATTATAATCCCTTAAAGGACAACATAATGGAAGGATCTGCAGGTGTGTAGCATTAAAAGCAAAATTGTGGCAGCAAATATACCATAATAATGACACTGATAATCCCTGAACCGTGAGACTTTGCGTTACTTATTTTTCTTTAAAATTTTCTATGTTTTCTAAAATGTCCATAATTAACACATATTAATTTTACACTGAGATGGCAGGGAGTGCAAATGCAGCAAAATATCACTTTGATGCTTCAATTCTGTGCCAGTGAGCTGGCCTTATCATCTGTCACCTCACAGGTGGTCTGGCTGATGGACCAAGTGAGCCAGTTGGCCCTTCCTTCTTCATTCCTCTTTCTGATGCTATACACTCAGTGGAAAGGGGAGCATTCCCATAAAAAGAATGACTCTGGTCAAAGATACACAAGTATCACTCCTCTCTCCTAGAACCTCCTTTCATCTAGCAACATCCACTGGGTGCCTACTACGCATCAGGTCTGGTACAAAGTTAAGAAAAAGCCACTGGCCATAAGTGAGGAGGAAGACACAGAGGCCAAGCCTCACCATCCTGAAGTAGTGGCTTCTAGAAATCATACCTTCATCATGGGCACCCTCCCCGATGGGGATCCCAACATACACCATCACGTTAACTGCATCAGAGACATCTAAATGAAGGTTCGTTGTGCCAACTCTTCTATCTTCCGCAGTTATCAAGCCTGAGGGAAAAGGAGGATATGCAGGGTGAAAGGGCAATACTATGAAAAATCCACAAAGACCCTATAAGTGCAAACATACTCAAACATGTTCTTAAATGGGTAACAGTGAGAGAGTGAAGTCTGTTTATTAAGAAATCATTCTCCTCATCTCTTTTCTAGTGTTTTAAGATCGATTTCTACCTTGGCTGACACTATCATTAGATTTGGCCATTGAACCGATTCACCCCCCCCAAACAATCTCTCCTTTAAAAGCAAAATGGATACGGGCATTACTGACATTCAATAGAAGCTTGGCTTTCATAGTGATTTATGGCCTTACTATGACTCCACAAAGAGCACGCTGGGTAGCATGGTACTCAGACTTCTTCACTGTTATTTTATCAAGTCTCTTAAAAACGAAGAATCAGGGGCGCCTGGGTGGCTCAGTCGTTAAGCGTATGCCTTCAGCTAAGGTCATGATCCCAGGGTTCTGGGATCGAGCCCCGCATTGGGCTCCCTGCTCAGCAGGAGGCCAGCTTCTCCCTCTCCCACTCCCCCTGCTTGTGTCCCTCTCTCGCTGTGTGTCTCTCTGTCAAATAAATAAATAAAATCTTAAAAAAAACAAAAACAAAAACTAAGAATCATGTCTTCTTGCACAGAATATTTGAGAGGAAGCTTTCGAATTACTGGAGATACACAAGTTATAGATGTGACACAAATCAATATGACAAAAGCAAGCACATTCAAAACCATCTGGGGTGCCTGGCTGGCTCAGTTGGTAGTGCATGCGACTCTTGATCTCAGGGTTTTAAGGTTAGTCCCATGTTGGGTGTAAAGATTACCCAAAAGTAAAAAAAAAAATCTTAAAAAAAACAAAACAAATAGGGGCG